AAGCCAACTGTAATCTACGCAAGGACCCCGAGTACCGATGTTGGCATTGCTCATTTTCTGTTTTCCTTAGAAAAAGGAGCGCAGTCGAGCCCTTAATCTCCGAGACATAGTCTTTTCCCGAAAATAGCCTTTCCGTTTTACATGTTTTAAAAATAATTTTGACAAACAATCTAGAGATATGACGTGTCACGGGGTACGCTAATGAAAAAAGGTTGGGAACCACTGCTCTAAATAGTCGAAGTCAGTTAAATCACTCAATCCGATCGCATCCGCGAACGGGATCGTCGTGGCGTCAAGTTATATATTCTAGGAATGAAAGAAAGGTCCGAATGTCGTTATCACTAGTTTATTCCCGATAATTACGACTCTATGTACAGAACAACGCCGATCATGTAGACAAGGGTCTGAGAGCACGAGATGAACGTCCGAACTTGAACACGTCGAATCAAAAAGTGTTAACCTCGACCTCTGACGTCACGCCGGTTGGGGACGGTGGTCAGGCGCAGTGTTGCTGACCGCCGCAGACTCTTCGCCCCCTACGTTACACCACTGTTAAGTTCTGTGGGGTCCACAACAGCGAGGTACACGGAAAGGGAAAAGACTCCAAATATCTGGAACAGACCCCATGAAATATTTTTGTGTACTTTACTTTGTTCTGATTTGATCTCTGGTTTATGCAATAGTAGGTTGTGTGAGCTCGCGGATTTTATCGGGCTTCTTAAAAATCTAAATTTTCTGTTAATTATCTTCGGAAAACCCGAAGAATTTGTACTAATCTGATTTCACCGATTGTATAACGACTAGCTGAGAAAGTTTACACTTATGTGTGAAAAATGCACCGTCATCGTCAACAAGAGTCGATGACGTGTCAGCTCTATCGCGACAATGATATAAAAAGGGAGACCACCGGAAGCTCGAGAGTTCGCTCACGGAGGTTATATTGGGTTATAGTGATTTCACGTATCCCGCATCGGCAGAAGACATCGACCAAGCCCAACCCTGGCATAAAGAACTGTTGTCGCCACATATAGTACTTGGAGGTAATTATTTTGAACCAGAGAAAGGATAGATTGTAAACGCGTCAGTAGCGACTTACGTTATCCGCATTTATTCGTAGATGTAGCCATTCTATTGTAACCTTTTTGTATGCTTAGTTAGTTATATAATAAATGCTTGTTTAGTTTTAAACCTGTCTCCTGTCAATTAAGGACGCCTGCCGACTTGCTCACCTCCCTCGCCACTCGATTTGCCCTCCTAGCCATCCAACAGACTCCGAGATCGGGTTTAACCAGCCTGTGCCGATTAAGTGGTCAGTAGGAGATAAACCCCTGACCCACGGCTTATCTCACAGTTGACACCTACAGAGTTTAACCATACAGATGAAGTACATCGACAAGGAATATATTTTAAAAATTAAAATTTTACGAATGAAAGAAAAAAAAACATTTTTACATAAAAAATATGAAAATTATAAACCACGAATTATGTTGACTGAATTAGTGTTTATTTACTTGAGGAATGATAGATATTTTACTACGTAGATCTCGAAGACCGATTTCCTTAGTGTCGATTCCATCGATGGTGATTGTTCCCGTTGGCTCCGTCATGCGAAATAACGAACCAATTATTGAACTCTTTCCAGCTCCTGTTCTCCCGACAATTCCTATCTGTAATTAATAAATAAGAAAACCATTTTACACAATAATTACTTACAATGCTCTTCTGATTTGTAGACGTTTTACCTTTTCTCCAGAGCCAATACGAAAAGTCAAATTCTTTAAAACGATGTTTTTATCCTCGGAGTATTGTAAAGAAACATTATCGAAATGAATTACTCCTGTTTGGGGCCAGTCCGAACGTGGTCGTTTTTCGGGCAAACTTTCGTACGAAGCTTCCGATTTCAATTTGCTATATTTCAGAATGCGCTTTACCGAGTTCATCTGAAAAATTTTCGTTTTATAAAGTAAAACAGACTATGAAACTTGTTGAGGTAACAAGTTATATTATCTAAGATTATATATTATAAAGAGATTATATTGCATGCGGAACCTCAATGACACTAATGATTGGAATATTTTTATTCGAAGTGGGGTGGTAAACATCTTATTTTTTGTTGTGTATGTTAAAGTTTCAATTTGATGTCATCTTGGATGAATTTCGAGTAGTAATTTTTTGAGCAGCTAAAAATTGGTTGTTTCTTAAAAATGGTAAAATATAGATATTTCGCCATTGTGGACGAGACTATGTCTTGTCTATAAAATCGCGCTGCTGTCAACGGCTGGATACGTTAGAGGTGTGAAGGAATATAGGTCAGAAGTTTATATTTTTTACAGAGTGTTTGGTGCCCAAATCATGCGCACATAAAAAAACAGACTTGTAGATAGTCAGGGACCGAGAAGCGGGTCAAAATAAAATACAAAATGGCGACATTGTTTCTACAAACAGACAAAAGTGCGAGATTTGCGTATACGTTGCTCGTGATAATTTCAAAATGCGAACGTTGCGAAATCAAATTTTCACAAACGTGTGAAACAAGTTACGAATGTATTCTCTCGCTCTGGTCGTTTCGCAGGATGGCGAAAACATTGGGACAATTCGGGTACAAATATTTTCCAGCTTTTCGTAGCCAAAAACTTGCCCGTGACAACGCAACTAGTCGTAACCACGGCGGCAACAAAGCCAACTGTAATCTACGCAAGGACCCCGAGTACCGATGTTGGCATTGCTCATTTTCTGTTTTCCTTAGAAAAAGGAGCGCAGTCGAGCCCTTAATCTCCGAGACATAGTCTTTTCCCGAAAATAGCCTTTCCGTTTTACATGTTTTAAAAATAATTTTGACAAACTTTTACGATAATCGAGTTTTTTAAAAGAAAACTTGCTGTTTATTTCTGTTCAAAAGTAACTATGAATAGGCAAAAATTAAAGCGAAAAAAACTGGTGTCTTCTAGTAATATACATACAATAGTGCTAAACATAACAATTAATTATTAAACAATTACTAGCTTTTTAAACAAATAACACCAGAATTATGAAACGAACACCCGAATTCACTTATTGGACTTTATTTTATATGTATTCTTTTTACCTAGTATTTTCCTTTCCTTTCCAAGAAGTTTACCTTGGTCGAAACTATTGGATATGGTCCGATAAAGCAATTGGCTGTTCGTTTGATATTTGGATTAATTATCGGGTTGGTTCGATATGCAATACCTGAAAGTCCGTTTCAGATGCTAATGTAATAAAGTATTGAATATTCGTAGTTATTATTATTCCGTAATTTAATGCAAGTCCAATTTTGCCTCCTGCGTCACCTAAATCAGCAAATATTAATTTTAAAAATATTTATATTATAGATTTCAGACATTAAAATATATTCACTCACCTGAATTATTTAAAACAATGAAAATAATAACAGTAATAATTAAATTTATGAAAGAAATTATTTGACAGTATACGAAAAGCCATCGAAGTAAACACAAGTGAATAAACAACGTTGAAGTATGCTTATCCTGATACGAATTAAACATGGATTTAAATTTGCTTTCAGCTTTAAATGCTCTAATTGTCGTCAGTCCGTAAAGAGATACACTCAGATGTGAAAATACTGGACTTCTCACTGTCAAAAGAAATTTGTATATATAATTCAAGTATTTTACAAGGTTTGCATTATAGAAGCGAATTATTACATTTAAGAAGGCACCTAAACATATTTACTATGTTCAGGTGATGTTATAATAAAAAATTGGTGTCATAGTACATACCTGACCAACCGAAAATATTGCCGGCGTTTTCTGTCATTTTGATTGTTTCAGTTTCAAAAATGTTTGAAATAAAGTGATGTTGTCAGTAATAAAAAACGGATACCTTTCATCAGGCGAATAAAAAAGACACAATTCCTCCTTTCAGAAAGGGTCAGCCATTTTTAGTGACTTGACGCTAGGCCGAATGCCAAAGTGGAAAAGGCTAATTTATTCTTTATATCTCTAAAGAATAAATTAGACATTTTCACTTTGGCATTTTTTATAATTACAGGTATGTAATAGAGACGTCGGTCCATCTATGTATTACTTTTGCTAAAGTAATAATTTAAATATTTTCAACTGCCAATAATATTCAAAATTATTTCATCAACTTTAAATTTATATTTTTTATAACACAGAATTTGGTTATGGCGTATTGGTCAAGACAAGAGTAAATTCAATAATTTTTCGCCAGAAAAATATTTCGTTATTGAAACATGTTATCTGCCATATTATTTTCCATGATAAAATTGCCATGTGAAATTGTGTATTTTCAGAGTTTATCAAAAAGAAAAGAAGTTCCTGCATGCTTTAAAAAATACAGTAAATTATTCGAAGTTCTCTTAAAACAGATAACAAGCAGATATATTTTTTTTACTTCAAAAATAAAAACTGAATTTAAAATTATTTAGTAACCTAATTCATTTTTATGTAATTACGTGAAGCATCAACCAGACACCAAGTATAACTCGTTGAACTTAAACGCAAGAAATCTTTCTTTGAAAACTTATCATAGAAAACATTCTTTTCTTAAATTTTATAAACAAGTATATTCTTACAATAAATTTCATGATATTTTCAATTTATCTAAACACCTGTTATGCACCTGGGATAGTACATACTGTTGTGAACAATTCTTTTCGTTTATGAAAAACATCAAAATTGCCGAAAGAAATAGGTCGATTAATTTCCCTTTAACTAACATTATTAGAATTAACACAAGTACCAAAAAGCAGATATAAACAATATTATAAACGAAAGAATGTCAAAAATAGCATTAAACTCATTTTTATTTTGTGTAATTATAATTTCTTTTATTACTGTCAACAATACGGTATCATATGTAATTATATATAATTGCTATTAAAATTTGATACTAAAATTTTAAACTTTTTAAAAGAATATATTTATATATAATACGTTTGTGGCCACAGAATATACCTAAATTTCTATTTTAGCTCATGAGAAAAACAAGTTGGCCAATCTTCCACTTAAATGATGTAGTTTGCTTTAGGTTGCTATCTCAAACCAAAGCAAGAAAAAAGTAGTAAACATTGTCCTAATACTTTCTTGCAGAAAAAAATTACCAATATGAGACGTGCTTGATTTCCACGTTTCACACCAACTGTTCACAATTAGGAGTATAATAAAGTTCCCAAAGTGTTCTTGGTGGAGGCTAACCAGTTGCAGCTTGTCAATCGCAGCATTCCGTGACTCTATGTATTTTCATTTAAATATCATTCTACGTGACGAATATGTTTACTGCCAAAAATACAGCAACAACTCGCATGAGTTTCTGTTGACAAATCGTTATTTTTCTGAAACGCTAAGACACTTCCTCACAGTTACAATTATTGTGAGATTTTATAAAAATACTTTTATATTATGAAATGTTATAAAGTGGCAAAACGCTTAATTTTCAGAGTAGAAATAAAGTTTTAAAACATTGTAAATGCTAATAACGATCAAATTTGCATTAAGACTCCACACTCGATATGCTACATCCGACTAAATTATCTTCCAACCACTCGACTTTAAGTACTAAAATATAATACCATGAATGACTCTTGTGTACAAATTACCATCCTAAATTATGTTTTTTAAACAGTACCTCATTCTGAGAAGTTACTCCACCGTTCAATTTTTGCAAAGTACTTTGTGGGCTTTCTTAATCATTTTTGATTGAAAAAAAGTGTAGAATGCAGTAATTTCGACATTATGCACTATAGCATTTGAGATAACTTTCCTCCTGTGTTTATAGATGAGGATATTCATAAATGCAACAACGAATAGCCCGTGCTCGTTTATTCATAAAACACACATTATATAAAGCTGACAGTTTTCTAAGTATTAATCTGTCTCGCATATTAGGAAACATCTTGTTTACTTCCCACTTTTGAACAACTTATTATTTTCCCATAATATTTTGAAATTCTCACTTATAACGGCAAATTCGCATTTCCGTATATCTTCAGTTTACAAAACAATTTCTCGTTACAATGCTGTAATATACTACTTGTACAGTTTCATTTTCTTTGTTAAAATCAAATGTTTGGAAAAATTCTAAAGTGAATTTGTGTGCAATGTTCAATTTCAACGCTTTAAAAAGATCTAGGCATTACAATAAATTTCCTGTATGCCTAATTGGTTAAACTGTTCTTCCTTAAAAAGCGCTTTTATTTCGAACTCTCAACAGAATAATATTTGTAATATACATGATAATTGTCCGTCTTTTAAAAAATTTATACAGATTTTTCTAAGAGATTATTACATCTAAACTCGCAGAAATGCCTGTAAATTGTTATAACGTTTCCTGTATATACATTACATCTGTTTATCTAAATCAAAGATAATTTACTGTTTCATTCCTTGTCGTTGATAATCTGTAGGATTACGTAAAAATTTGTAATTATATACAGTATTCAAATTAAGTAATATTTTTAAATTGACTTCAAGCAAGTAAACAGATTATGAATTACAATTTCTTCAATTATTCTGTATAATTTTTCATAAACATTTTAAATCTGTAATTGTAATTCAACCTATTTTCTAACTAAACACACTCAAGAGAACCTTTAAATATGCAGCCGTATTTATTAAATTCTAACGTTTTCGGTCATATTCAATGTCCTTTCTCAAGAAAAAAAACAGAAAAAATCGAACTCCGAACTTGAATTAACGATACAAGCATTTTGGAACGTTTAAAAAAAATTAAAAACGTTCCAAAACGCTTGTATCGTTAATTCAAGTTCGGAGTTCGATTTTTTCTGTTTTTTTTTTGAGAAAGGTCATTGAATATGACCGAAAACGTTAGAATTTAATAAATACGGCTGCATATTTAAAGGTTTTCCTGAGTGTGTTTAGTTAGTAAGAAATTGCAGTCTACGATGAATCAACCTATTTTCTTTTATAATGTAAGTGATTGTCTGGCAGTTAGGAATAAGAAATATAAAACATTGGATATAAAGGTCATTATGTAATAAGGTTTTGACACAAGTAAAACCTTTCTCTTGTGTACAAAATTAATACATCTTTTATCACATGATTTTTAGGAAAGTGCATAGCTAATAAAATAAAATAAAATAAATGATTTGATTATTTTGCATTGTAACTTTGCATCTTAAAATTTTTAACGAGTCTGCAACTCTGTTCATAAATTTCATCACTAAAATTCTGAATGAAATTAAATTCAATAAACTCTTTTATATGCGAAATACTTACATTTTCCTTCCAAATGTTTTANATGTTTTACGCTTTTCAACACTTGGCTAAAGATGGTCCACAAAGCACAGAATATTACTAAAAGGACAGCAATCAATATAAATAGATAAGGACAGAGTATCGCTTGAAGAACACACATGCCGACAACAATAAAACATCCCTAAAATTAAAGAATATAAATTGCTATTAAGTAATTCGCAATGTTAAAATTTAAATTTTTTAAGTAATCTATTTTTTTCACTCCGTTTAAAAGTGTCATCTCTGTGTTAATAATACATACAGTTGGCGGCTGGATGGACGAACGATCAAGGTGGCAACCTATCACTCTGTGGGACCCGGGCTCGAATCCGAACGGGTCGATAAGATGCAAGAAAGAAAAAAAACGACACATACACTTGGTCGTAGCTGACATAAATACATTAACACTGGTGGTGTTTATGTTAAAAGTTAGATTACAGTGCTAATTTTACTTTTAGTGTGTTACATTTGTGTAAACAAAACACTCGTGTCTAATTCGCAAAAAATGCCTTTGCAACTGGCTATTTGTGTTAAATGTTCATTACTTTTTATAATTTATTTTACGTAAATCGATATATTTAAAATTAACTTACTCTTATCAGTAGGAAAGTAAAGAAAGGTAACAACTCATCCATGGACTTAACATCTTTGGAAAACCGAATTAAAATTTTCCCTAAAAAATATAATTAATATCAAAAATATTAATTAAATTAAATATTTATGTAAAAAACATTTATTCGAATATGATTGTTATTGTTAATAGAAATACCACGCAGTGTGGCTATAAAAATGTAGTTTTCCGGGATTATTATATTTTAAACATTTTACAGGATACATTTTATGGAAAATATGATTTTAACATTACGGAAGTGAGGTTTATAAATTTGTAAATACAAATACTCCTAATTATAGTTTTATAAATTGATTTTGTTTAAAACAGATGGAATATAATGCACTCTTTTGAAGTATGTATACATAAACTTCTACGTCTAAAAATTACTTATGTATTATTAATTGAAATTGATAATACAGAAATCACTTCAATGTGTAACTCGCTGACAAGAAATGATGAATTCTGTAGTTTCCAACTATAATATAATA